TACATGCAGCTGCAGGGTGTCCTGAGTTTCTCTTCCTTTTCCTTTGGAGAAAACAGTTTGCAAAGAAATAGCCCCAAGCCCCGGTGCCTCGCCAGCTCCCACCCCTCCAAGGGCCGCAGCAGCTTTGCCAGCACTGCTGTGTGCTCCAGGCACTTCCAGGGCCGGTTGCTCTGCTGAGGATGAAGGCGGCTGGGGTGAAAAAGCCAGGAGAAAAGCCCCACAGGGGCTTTCTGAGGTGTTTGATTGCACCATCAGCGTGGATCACAAATTTCCACATTGCTCCAGATACTGGCCTGAGGAGGGAAGTCTGAATCAGACTCATTTCCTTACGGCATTTTCCCCTATTGCACAAAACCAGCCATCCAGTTCTGTGGCTCGTTGCCGTCCTTTTTAGCTGGTTCCCTGTGCTCCCACTGCCCTGTTCACCGACAGCCTGACCCAAGGTCTCCTGGACATGCAGCCAGCTGGTCCCCAGGGCTGGGGTGTCTCTGGGCCATGGGGATCGGTGGGCAAGGTGGCTTTTCTCTCCAGGATGTGTGCTGAGGAATCCTGGGATAAGGCAGCTCCCTCTTCTTCCATCTCAAGCAAGAGGAGGCTGAGCCAGTGCGCTGGCATGGAGATGCCAGCAGTCCCCGGGCACCTTCCAGTGCTGCGCATCGCCAAGGGGGGTCAGCAAGAGAAACAGCTGCAGGCAGCAGATGGAGCAGCTCTTGTAAAAAAGGCAGAAAATGCACCATTTCAGTAGAAATCCAGCATATTCAGGGGCTATTTTTTAAAGAAGCAAGAACAGAGAAATTCCCCTGTGGCAGGTTTCGGTTGCTCTTTCTGTCAGTGCCAGGCGTGGGCACGAGGCAGCATAGGGAAGTGGCAGGGAGCACATGGGCTCCAGCCCCCAGCTGCCTTCACCCCCCACCCCATGCCCAGTCCCTGACTGGGGACAGCAGGGAAGGAAACACAAACCAAAGCCTGCACGGGGGAAATCAAACCCGAACCCAGGGAAAGCCCCGGCTGCCCCACAGGCGCACGGAGGACTTTTGTAGGAAAAGCCTTGGGACTATCCCAGGGAAAGCTGTGATGGCCAGGGGCTAGGAGGAAGCATGGAAG